TGGGTACATTTTTATAAAAATTAAATTATTCATGATTCCAGCACTTAATGCTCATATTTTAACTGCCAGTCAGGATCATGTTTTATGCATTTCCTGTCTACAGCTACACATATACAAAATTAGAGTAATGTAAATTATTTAATATTGCAAAATATTCCTTTGCCACTATGTGCAATTTTTTTTCAGTAATTCTGGAACCATGCATTGGAACATGAAGAAAAACAAAGAAATGGTCATTCATCTCTACTAGGAAATAAAATTCATTGTGGAAGAATCTATTGAGCTCATATTATCTCAGAGGATTTGACACGTTAAATAATTTATGTTTTCTCTTCCCTAAATATTTGTGTCACTCAATTCTTCCTGATGTTTCTAAGTAGTGTTTGCCTCCAAGAATAAAAACTTTAAGCCATCGGAGTGAATCAAGGGAAAATTAAGAAAGGCAAGTCAAAGTTCTAATGGCTGCACACAAAGTTAATAAGCCATTTGTTCAAAATATTAAAAATTTAGAACCAGGATCCCCAAAGTTGTGACTCATTCTCTGGCCTAAAGGTAACATTGTGCAGTTTAGGGCTGTTAACAACAGGCCAAAAAAGCCAGGACTTTATTTCTATACACATGATGCAATGATTTTTTTCTCAGCTAACACCCTCCTGCAGTCAGAGCAAGGTAACTGACATTATCTCACACTCAACTGGAGACAGCAGCTTCAGAAGTCTCTGTTTACCTCATGCAGCTTGGACACCTAATGAAAGTTATCTGGTGATATTACTCTTCCTCATATTTAGAGACAGTGTCACAAAAGATGATTACTATTTGTACAAGAATATATCTACCTTGTGACAAAAGCCTGCCCCTCATTGTACACATGACAATGTTTTTTGGCTCAATGTCTGAAGAAGTGATTTGCAAAGCTTACCTCCATTTAAAACTCTGCTTTGAGAGGTTATGAATGCCCTGACATCTTTTTCTTAAAATACCTACCTAATTATCAACTGGTTTATCTCAGACAGCTGAACTATGCTTACACAGTCTGAAACTAAAGGTGAAAATATCCTGAAGATTTTTCTTCTGTATTTTCTTGACTTATGGTTGTAAAAACTATAGAAATTTACTATTTCTATCAAGAATCAATTAATGTTTCAGATAAAAACGTAAGCTAGAAAAAGAAGTACATACTTGAGGTGAAGATAGGTCTGGGTTCAGATTCCACTTGTGCCACCCTGAGCTAAGTGATTTGGAGCAAATTATATAACCTTTCTGAGCCTCAGTTTCTTCATTTGTAAGTGAAATAATTCTTTTTTTTTTTTTTTTTTTTTTGAGACAGAGTCTCACTCTGTTGCCCTGGCTAGAGTGAGTGCCGTTAGCCTAGCTCACAGCAACCTCAAACTCCTGGGCTCAAGCGATCCTCCTGCCTCAGCCTCCCGAGTAGCTGGGACTATAGGCATGCGCCACTATGCTCGGCTAATTTTTTCTATATATTTTTAGTTGTCCGATTAGATTAATTTCTTTCTATTTTTAGTAGAGACAGGGTCTCGCTCTTGCTCAGGCTGGTCTCGAACTCCTGAGCTCAAACAATCCACCCGCCTCGGCCTCCCAGAGTGCTAGGATTACAGGCGTGAGCCACCGCGCCTGGCCTGTAAGTGAAATAATTCTTTGTTCATTGTGCCATTGTGAAAATTAAATGATATGATCACTATAGAGTGCCTGACACACAGTAAACTCTCAAAAAATAGTAGCTATTAGTATTGACTGGCAAAGAATTGTGGAAATTGGCTATACTGCATTAATTCATCAATATAGTAAGTATGTATTGATCCTACTATATTCCAGGCAACTGGGCAAAGTGCTCAGGATTCAAAAGCTGTTGTTTTTCACTAGGAGCTTAAGTTTTTGTGGGGATACAGACATGCATGATAGAGATACAAAAGTCCTGTGCAAACACAAATAACGGAATAGCTAACTTTGCTTGGGGTGTTAGGAAAGCCTTCTTAAACAAGACAGGAACTAAGCTAGCAGGATGAGCAGGAGTGTGCCAGGAAAGAATGAGATGGGCATTTGGAGCAGAAGACTGCGAAGGCATGAAATTACAAAAGGGCTTTTCACATCCAAGAAAAGTAAGAAATTGGAGAGGAGCAGCATAGCCATGTCAAGCCTTTTAGATGGTTAAGGTGCAAGATCCAGCCGATGTGTTTGAAACTAGACCAGAAGTGCCATGCTAATCCTTCAACAGTGTGGCTCTCATTGAACTCAAAGAAAATTCCATTTCTCTGAGATGTGCCACTTTTGATCAGTTGGCTTAAGAAAGGCTTAGTCAAACCCCCTCAGTACAGTGATGTTTGTTTGTTAGTGCACATCATTTTTCTTAAAATATACCAAAATTGGGGGCAGAAGGGAAACTGTTATTTTAGACCTAAGACTCATGATTTCCAGCTTTTCATTCCCCTATAATTTCTGTGATGGGTTGCCCTTTTCACCAGGAACACCCTGGGACATATTCTAAAAATTGCTGTAACCAAAATACATGCTTCTTAGTTAATAACAAAACAGTGCTCAATTCCAGATGCTGAAAGGGAAGATGATGCAAAAATTTCTCGGCAGAAAATACATTCCCAAATCTCATAAAGTGATCTCATAAAACCATCCAAAGTATTTGATTTGAAACTAGTGAAGGTAACACCATGGCTAAAGCATCACAAAGAATTAAACTGAGAGGGAGGAAAAAGCCTTGCACCCACAGGCAAACACCCTACATCGGGCAGAATCTGACAAGGCAAACAATTCCATTGCTAAAGACACCTCCAAATGCCTGCAACAGAGCTCTGAGGGAAAATAACAGCCTTGCTGCTCATTTGGGGGAAACTGTCCAAGCACAGCAGTTATTTCCAACACAATCCCATTGATGTGAGGTGGAGATGGAGCAGAGTGCTAATGGTTGTGTAGGTGGGAATCAATCCTTAGGCTCTAAGAACAAGCCTCCTAATTGCACAGAAATTAAATTCATCCCAGAATGAGCTAGGTGTATGATCTAACAGCACTGCAACCTCTTAATAAACTGTGGATTCATCTACTACCTAGTTTGAATAATGACTCAATTTCATGCGAAGAAGCTTTTTTGTTTACACTCAGTATTCTTCTCTAATTGTAATTTCTCATTATAATATTCCAAGATTTCATGGCTATTTAGGTGGATTCTATGGAAAGTCTAAATTAGAAAATAGCTATTTAATAGATTTTTTATTTAATAAGAGGAAACCATTTGTTTTAATACACTCACCATTCCGTGATTCAGCCACCCTGGGATGAAGTTATCAAGCAACTTCGGGTATATCATCTCTCTGTCATAGGCATAAATGATCCAGAACACCGCGACAACGAACTGGAAGGGAAAAGAAATCTTTTATTTCAAGTTCTTTAACTATCCACAACACACAATTTGTTGGTTATTTATTGTTAAAAGAACCCAACAGAATTTGGAATCTATGATGAAAGACAGATCAGTAAACCAGTTAATGACTAGAAAGATAGTTCTAGCTTCCTTTGACTACGGTAATTGTCAAGCTGCCTCCTTCCCTTTGCTCTCCCAGTTGTATTCTCTCTGGCAAAAGGATCTGTTTTTCAGAGAGAAAGTATAGAGGCCTATCATCAGGCATAGCTCCAATTCAGGGCGAATTGTGCTGGTTTGAGTCCTCTCAAGAGGGCTTAAAAGTTCACTGGTGGTTTTTTCGGCTCCCATTCCCCACTGTATAGTTCGCACACATTTGAGAAACTAGAGAGTATGTCCCTTTTCCTTGAACCCATCATGTGGTTTAAATTAATCTCCACATTCTCAAGTTTCCATTTCACCACTAACAGCATTGAAACCCCTGCTATAAAATGTCCAAAAGTCACATTTCCAGCAAATGTATGAATTTATACAGCCCATGCAAGAACTTTAGCTGTACTGAGAAGCAGGGTATATGGAGGGCAAAGGAAGATTTCTAATTCTCTTGGAATAATTCAGAAGTTCATCTGGGTTCCAGAGGCCTGTTATGGCACATTAGCAACATAATCATCAAAGGACAGTAGAGTACTCAATTTATTATTTTACCATTCTTTGAACAAATTGTGAGAAAAGAAGTTCAGATAACATAAAGAAATGAATGGCCCAAGATCTTGACCTTTAGCATAGAATTTAAAAGAAAAAGTATATGCTTTTGTAAATGTCAAAAATTAATATTTTTGACAAAATGTCAAATATTTTGAAATTAGAAAAAAGAAACATAGGCTAATGATATGAAGAAATAATTCACAAATAAACACAAAAACATGCTCAATCTTACTCATAATAAAGGAATGCAATTAAAACTACACTGATGAGATTGGCAGAGATCCAAAAGTTTGATTACGTACTCTACAGGTGACTATAGGGAAATAGGCTCTCTTAGACTTTATTGGTAAGAAGAATCTAAAATGATACAATCCTTATGGTGGGGAATTTAGTTATAACTACCAAAAGTTATAACTATTTACTTTTCAATCTCCCCTCAATAATAACCCTATCTAGGAATCTCCTTCAAAGATACACTGGGGGAAGGGTATATGGGGTGAAATGTTCATGGGAGTCCATCTTACTCCTCTCTCTACTTTTTGTTTATTTGTAACTATCCATAAATGAAAGGTTTTTAAACATTAAAAAAAATGATGTTTTTAAATGTATCTAGAAAACTCCAAGGATTCATCCAAGAGACTCCTAGAATTGATAAATGAATTCAGCAAAGTCTCAGGATACAAAATCAATACACACAAGTCTGAGACATTCATGTACGCCAATAACAATCAAGCTGAAATTCAAATCAAAAACACAATACCTTTTACAATAGCCTCAAAGAAAATTAAATATCTAGGAATATATTTAACGAAAGATGTGAGAGACTTATACAGGGAGAACTACGAAACACTAAAAAAAGAAACTGTAGAAGATGTAAACAGATGGAAAAACCTACCTTGCTCATGGATTGGTAGAATCAATATTGTTAAAATGTCCATAATACCTAAAGCGATCTACAGAATTAATGCAATCCCTATCAAAATACTATCATCATTCTTTACAGATCTAGAAAAAATAATTCTACACTTTGTATGGAACCAGAAAAGACCTCGTATAGCCAAAGCAATCTTAAGTAAAAAGAACAAACTGGGAGGTATCAGTCTACCAGACTTCAAGCTGGACTACCAGGCTATCATAACTAAAACAGCATGGTACTGGCACAAGAACAGAGACATAGACCTCTGGAACAGGACTGAGAATCCAGAGATGAAACCATCTGCATATGGTAATCTAATCTTTGACAAAGCTGACAAAAATATACACTGGGGAAAAGAATCTCTTTTCAATAAATGGTGCTGGGAAAACTGGATAGCTACATGCAGAAGAATGAAACTGGATCTCCACCTCTCACCTCTCACAAAAATCAATTCAATATGGATAACAGACTTAAACCTGAGGCATGAAACCTTAAGAATTCTAAAAGAAGATGTTGGGAAGACCCTTTCAGACATTGGCCTAGGCAAGGAATTCTTGAAGAAGACCCCCAAAGCAATCACCGCAGCAACAAAAATAAATAAGTGGAATCTGACCAAATTAAAAAGCTTTTGCATGGCCAACTAAACTATCATTAGAGCGAATAGACAGCCTACAGAATGGGAGAAAATATTTGCTCTCTACACATCTGATAAAGTGCTGATAACCAGAATCTATCTAGAACTTAAAAAAATCAACAAGAAAAAATCAAACAACCCCATCAACAAATGGGCAAAGGAAATGAACAGAAACTTTTCAAAAGAAGACAGAATAATGGCCAGAAAACATATAAAAAAAATGCTCAACATCTCTAATCATTAGAGAAATGCAAATCAAAACCACAATGAGATATCACCTAACCCCAGTGAGATTGGCCTCTATCAAAAAATCCCAAAACAACAAATGCTGGTGAGGATGTGGAGAGACAGGAACACTCTTACACTGCTGGTGGGACTGCAAACTAGTGCAACCTCTGTGGAAAAGAATTTGGAGATACCCCAAAGAGCTAAAAATAGAAATACCATTCGATCCAGCAATAGCACTATTAGGCATCTATCCAGAAGAGCAAAAGATATGCTACAATAGAGACATCTGCACCCGAATGTTTATGGCAGCACAATTCACTATTGCAAGGATGTGGAAACAACCCAAATGCCCATCAGTTCATGAGTGGATTATTAAAATTTGGTGTATGTATACAATGGAATAGTAATCATAAGAAATGACAGTGATCTAGCACCTCTTATATTTTCCTGGATTAAACTTAAGCCCATTATCCAAAATGAGGTATCATAAGAGCGGAAGAATGGGCTCCACTTGTACTCGCCATCAAATTGGCACTAACTGTTGAACACTAGGGTGCTTACATGGCAGTAATACTCTCCAGGGATTAGGGGGATGAGGGGGGTAAACCCGCAACTAAAGGACACGGGGAGCATTGTAGGGGGGATGGGCATGCCTCTAACCCTTATTTGGGTGAGGCAAAGACATAAACTGTAACCATAATTTTTGTACCCTCATAATACCCTGACATAAAAAAAAAAAAAGAATTAGGGTACATTGCAGAGATGTAGGTAAGCACCCATGAGGAGTATAATAAAGATGTGTTTCATGTTGGAAGGAAAATATAAATAAATAAATAAAAATGTACTATGAAAAAGGGAAACATCTGAGGAAATCTCTGTAGAGTGATGTCTCAAAATAAAAAATGCTATGGAATGAAAAAATACAGCATGAATATTAAATAGAAATAAATTTTATTTCATTTTTTATAATTATAAGTCATCCATGCTCCCACATTTTATTAATAAAAATAGTAAATATTTTAATGCCACTTTTTACAAAACACCTGGTTGCACTTGGTAGCTCAAGGCTAGTAATCCGAGGGTTCCAACTATGTCAGTTATGACATGGGTAATTTTGGCCAGGAAAAAAAAATTCACCCTTAAAATCTAGGATGTTACGTGCATTTATTGTTTTATAAAACACCATGGATGATAATTACAATAGGCAACTATAGATTACACATATAGTTTTAATACCAGATTGGGGTCCCCAGTTATTTATCTTTCTTTTGGGTCAACTATTTTCACTGTCAGTTTATAAATGCACAAGATAAAAAGGGAAAAAAATCTGTTATTAGCTTAAAGTTAACTATCAACCTTCCAAGTAACAATGAATAATTTTTTAATTATCCACAATTTTGGGTTATTCCTTCCAGTTCAGATTCCAAATATACTGATTATCTATGGTAATGGCATTTATAAGGTACATATTTGATAGTAACTTTAAATCTTTATTACATTAACCTTCAACATTATCTCCTTAAAGCAGGCTGAAACACAGGTTATTGCATTTTTCCTTCTAACAAATAGTGAAATCAAGGTTTTCTTTTCACTGACTTTAGTAACATTTGTTTGTATATAAAGCTCCACATATCATAAAAGGAAACTCACTATAACTTCATTAATTTTGATCCCACTAATTTGAGTGATAATACAAATAGAATCTACAATGCACATATTTTAGTCCTATCTTGTGAAGAAAAGATTTACCAAGGAAATTAAAAAGTTATTTTGCTTTCATATATATAGGTATATAACGTTAAACAGTAAAAAGCATGTTAATTTTTTTTCCTTGAATCACCTTACAATTAGCAAGTTTGGTGGGTTGGTGGAAGTACAGTCCAGATTGCAAAAGATTAAGGTGGGTGGGGGCAGAGTGGAAGAAGGCTTCTTTTCCATGACAATGGCAGTGAGGGGGAAGGAGAAGGAAGCCTGCTGCATGACAAAACAGGAGAGCCAGGCAATATTGTGAGTGGCTAAAAGTCAGAGTAAATGGAGACAGAAAGATAGCCAATGACTGGTTAAGCAAAACCCAGGGGAAGAAAGGGATTAGGATTATGAACACAGACAAACCGTTCTTCCCTTCTTTAAAGTGGGATGCAGGCACTTTTACTGACAGTTGGAAATAGGGCTGGGCACAGAATGGATTGGGACATAGCTGTGGATAATGTGCAAGGAAGCCAGTAAGATATTTAAAAGGAAGACTTATCACAAATCAGGAGGGCCCAAGTGAGGTCTACTAGCATGATTCTGTAGTAGAACCAACCAGGATGTTTTCTCCGTTATCTCGAGGTCTATGTAAAGGGGATTTAGAAAAAGAGGGTTTAGGAAAAAAGGATCCTGAGGGGTTTCCTAGCACCGTGGATTAGGTAACTGGAACAGACAGAAAGTCTGAAATGGGGGATGCTATGAGATTAGGAAGAACATCTTTAAGTGACTGACCAGCATTTCTAAGCTGGTGTCTGGGAAGGG